ACATGTTTCACGAATCTTGTTTATAGGAAACCCTCTATGTTCTCTAGCTTGCAAGGTTAGAAATGAAAGCAGGGGGGTCGGGGGGGAATAAGACGCTTTACAAACAGAACGGCCACTTTCCAACCAAAAACATGGCTCCACTGAGGTCTACATCTGCCTTCTGGATAGTACACTTTGCTCCTGCCACTGCCTTGTCAAGATACAAGACGGTATACAACGTGATATGACCATGGTGCTTGCAGGGCCTTACGGAAGGGATGCTTTCGGCAGGATGCGGAAGGTGTTTTCCGCTGACTGGGATGCACGACGTGGACGCCGACGGATGCTTTCCACCCCAAGCCCCCCATGGTCAAGGAAGGAGCTAAGCCCCGCTCAAACTCCCTAAGCCTGCCCACTGCCCCTCACGTCCTCAGTCTGCAACCCCGCAAAACCAAGCCCCTCCCGCGCAAACCCTGCAATCCCGCAAAACCAAGCCCACCCGCCCCCGTGGCGCGGATAGTCTCCTCTTCTTGCTGCATGGTTTTGTATTTTGTTCTCGCTTGTTTGCATTCTTTACATGTTTATCTGTTTCGTTCTTGCCTTCTCCCTGTCTATACATGTTGAGGACACAAAAGTCTCCTGATCAGATACAGAGGACGTGCAAGAAAACGAAGAGAGAATACAGGTTTCACCTCAATTTAAAAAAGAGAAAACCGAGGTTTTCTTATTCCAATGTGGAGGTTTTCCTATGGAAATATAGAGAAAATAGAAAGCACTTGGAGAAATGGGACCCAACAAAATGAAGGGCGAACAAAAAAAGAAAAGCAGATCTAAGCTTCGAAACACCATGAAGACCATGACCCGCAAAGGCGTCTATCAATGTCCCATCTCCTGACAAAGTGGCACTCTCGCCATCCTCCAGACCAAAAAATTCCGTGAATACTGTGAACTCCACCAAAGCTGACAGAAGTACACGGTGCGCGCAATGTTGCAGCAGGGCAGTGCACATCAACACACAACTTGGCATCCTCAACCCTAAGACCTCCACATCAGCTTCATCTCCTCTCTCGTTCCTGGCAAGCCGCTCAGGCGGAGCCCCAGGTGCGCGAAGATCATACGGCGTGCCACCTGGGCTTCCCTCTGGCGTTCCGGGGCTCTGTACCAAACAACTTCGCCTTCGGGAATCTACAGGGTCATTTGGGCCCAATACTTGTAGATGCTTCTGGAAAAACGTTCGTGCAAGTTCGGCTTGCCGAAAGTGTGGCAAGTTACTAGGCTCAGAGCCAGAACGGTTGTGGTGGCTCTAGCTTCTCCCTGACCTCTACCCCAAACAGACTGCAAAGTAAAGGCAGTCTGCACAATCCCTTGTGCAGGACATGCGGGCCAGGCTCCACAGCCGTGGTGGAGGGCCGTGTCGGCTCTTCACTGTGGGCAAGGTCTTCCTGCATCAATGGCACATTGTCTTGCACGGACTGCTTTGAGCACCGTCACTTTCAAAAGGCACATTCCCAACAAGGATGCGAGATACCAACGACCCAAAACCCGCTAGGATCAAACAAAGTTTTTGCTGAGCTTCTTGACTGAGCTTGGGGGCTCTCCACAACGTTCGAGGCAGGTACGATGCTCTTTGTTGGTGATTGGTGAACCCAAAGAAAAACGAGATGGCTAAGGGCTGCCGGGAGCAGTTATTCCTGCTGTCTGTCTACCACAAAACGGAAGATTAAGGTTTCGTAATAGAGCTCCAGGAGCATAAGGCTTTCAACAGTTGGCAACGCAGCCGAGTTCGGCAATCCTTCATCTTGGCATCAACCGGGGCATAGGTGAGAGGCGAACCTTGCTCCTTGCCAGAAGCAGGACTTCTGAATTCAGGCTTTGGGTTTCATCTAAGCCTGCATTGGGATAAGGACAGACGCACATGAAAGCTTCCCGGCAGGGAGTTGTGAGCAGAAGTGGTCGCAAGTTTGGAGCAACGATTTCTGGGAGTCCTCTTTGGTGAAGAAGCCCTGCAAACTTCGACCCGACACCAGACCTACCTAGCCGTTCGCAGGGGGGCCTGGCTGCTTAAATGAACTACAAGACCGTGACAAGACCTCAGCTGTGAGTGAAGGACGCCCGTCCTCGTCTTCACCGCACTGTTGATTGTGCTCGTGCGGGGGAGGCTGTGCAGCGACAGGTGCCTGCTGTGCAAATAAACTGACAGGCGGACTCACGTTCAACCCAGCCTAGCCTGAACTTCACCTTAAGCATTTGAGCCCCGGGTGTTGCTGACTGAATGACCATGTGCAGGGTTGGGTCACCCCTTGGAAGTGGATCTAAACGGTCAAAAGAGCCGGAGTTTTCTGGGAAAGCAGGTGGAGAGCTGAACACACAAAGCTTTGACGAGATCGACCATTGAGGCGTTCTGAGGGGGGGGCGTAGATTGGTTGTGCGTTGGTATAGGAGGCTGCCAGCAATCTGGGGCCTCGAGGCACTGACACGTGGTCCAAAGTGACAGCCCCTGCTCCCTCTTACTGTCTTTTGCGGCTACTTTCTCCGAAAGAAGACAATAGAAGTCATATGCAAGTTCCACTTTTAAGGGGAGAAAAGGCACAATAGCTACGAACTCCATCAAACACAATAGGAACCGTAGTAAACAAAAGCGCAGCATAACACCGCCATGCGCACCAAAAAGAGCCCGCAGAGAAGCACGGAAGCCAGACATCGAACAACTTAAAGCCAGCGACCAGTTAGAAGGGCCTAGACCAGGTGAAGCAAAGGTGAAAAATGCACTCACTCAATTCGTGTTCCAAAAAGGCACGAACTCCAACATTTCCACGTTGAGACCTCATTCTTCTCTCAAGCTTCAAGCGCCACATCTCTGCCTCCGTGTGCACCTGTGAAGCTGTCCTCGAAGCCGTCCTCTGGCGCCTCTCGAGTGAAGGAGAAGCGCCATGTTGGGAGCTTTGAGTCTCACAACACGAAAAGGACATCGGACTGGTTGATTTGTGTCTGTGTTGCTCTTTGCCGCACTGTCTTGTGGATGGTGCTGTGCTTGCGGTTGGACATTTGAGTACCTGCTCCAATAAACATTCCAAACACAGTACGAATATCGGCAACCATTTGCAGGTGCCAATGTAAGAACCTCGAAACAGGTACCCTGTTTTCGGAAACCCCCATACAGGTTGGTGACTGGTTGGTCCTAGCTGCTGTGGCTTCTTCATTGAAGGAAGATGATCAAACAAGAAGACCGGTGTCGTGAAGTGCTGCCGCGCCAAGCAAGGTTTAACTAGCACTTTTGCTATGGGTGGATTGCCGTCATCTGCACTTCTTTCCTGGGGCTCCTGTACAAATTTGTACTATGCACAGTGTACAGTGCGGATCGTATAAGACTATCACAGCGTTCCCGTGTAATTTCTTCACACGTTAGTCCCAATGCAGGCTTGAGACTTCTAGGTGCAGACAGAGCGACCCTCACCCGCACGCAAAGTCAAAGTGGAGGCCTTTCCCATGCCGGAAGCCGTCATCCCGTCTAAACCACCAAAAAACCAGCTGAACGCCCGCCCGAAGCCTTGACAACCTAAAGTGCCACGTTCTGGACGATTGCTTATCTCCCGCCTCGCGCGGAGTACTACCAGGGCCGCGAGCGCAGCGGCACCCAGACCAAGCAGCCGGAGCGCCATCCGGGCAAGGGCTAGGGCATGCATGTGGACACGGCTGATGGCTTTGCTTCCAGGAAATGCATCGGCGCATCTTTGGTGTTAGAGTGCTTCGAGATTTCTGCTTGGACCGTTTGAGGGTACATGGATTTGCAGGCACCATACTGGAGGTTGTGCTTTTGCACTCCTCATACCTGGAGAAAGTTGTGTGCTTGTTGCCTAAACGGCCTGTGCTGTAAGACGCCGCCGGTCGCAGTTCTGGCAGCTGCAGCTGTATTGTCGCAGATTTGGACAGTTCATCCAATCCCATCAAATCCCATCCAATCCCATCCAATCATCCAAAGGAAAGGCAAAGGCCAGATCGCAGGCTGCAGGCACACGAGATGGTTTCTCTCTGCAGCAGCTCGGTCACAGCCCCTCTCCTTCAGTGCCAGCCTCGGATAGCAACATATGGGTGCCGAAACCCTGGTCAAAGGCACTGGGATTGCATCGGGACGACGGATGTGATGTACAAGTGGAAGTTTCCCGTGCTTGAAGTGTGGGGCTGCTGTCCTTCCTGACTCGGAATCTGCCCTGGAATGTTGGCACCGTCCGAACGAGGACACCCCACAACGATGAAACACACAGAGCTTCTTCTTATACTTGGCTGAAAAGCAGCCTGAAACGAAACGGTCAGAGAGTCTCGCACCAATGTACTCCCTGCCTGCAACATACCAGGCGATCGAGCCTCCACCTGCGCCGAAAGCAATCGGAACCCACCACTCACTGGACCATAGTACGCCACAGTTTAATCTTAGCTTCATACCACACGCACAACTCTCATTCAGGCAACCGCGTTTTCTGAACATCCCAAGCATCTGATTAATGTGGGCATCAAGTCACATAGGCGTGCTGGTTCAAGCTCTAGCTCAAGCTTTGGTCGCAATCTCTTTGATGAAAAAGCACCGTTGATAATGAATACAGAATACAGCTTCTGGGCCTATACCAGCTCCCTAGACTCTGAAACGTTTGTTTCATGAGCAATGGGTGGGAAAGGGCATCCGTGCGGTTTTGGTCAAGGCAGCGGCAGTGTGCTCGCCTCACGTGAGCAGAGGTCCCGGATGGTCCCGGAGACTGCCGGAGACTCTTTCTTAAAATGTTCCGTCCTCGGCATCCTTCATTAGTCAAGACCAGCCTGGGCAGCCAGAAAGTTCCGATCCTTTTAAGAAAGATCAACAGATCCGGAATGAAGACATAAGAGGGAGTGGGTGTTTCAAATGAAGTCCGGGCCTTTGTCTTTCTTCAAAGCTTCGGCCCCAAGAGTAGTCTGCATAGTGCTTGGCGCTATCTTGGGTTTGTGTCAAGGTGGCCCTGTAAACCCATTGCATCGGATTGCCCTCGCACGTTTTAATCCCGCAAGTCGATAATGGCTCCGTTCCCTTCCCCCATCGAACAGTTTAGTCTCCGTCGCTTGTCGGCTGGGGAACTGTCACGGCCGGGATGCGCTGGACAACCTGTCGGCCCCACTAACAGCATCTCGATGGCTTGTGCTACATCGCCGCACTTCACCAAGGCCTGCCGCGCACGTTCCTCCCCAAAGCCCATGTTCAGCAAGGATGCGAGCGCATCGGCATCCACAACGGCACTGGGCGGGTTTGCCATCGCGTGCCTCGTCTTCTCCACATCGTCACTGTCGGAAAGCTCATGAATCTCCTGGCTTCTCTCCAGACCTTGTGGGCCGAGTGCAGGCGACACAGGCGCCGTGCTTGGGGCCGCGAAGCTGAGGCGGCGTTGTGCGCCCAGCGCCTCCCCAAAACCTACCTGCAAGTTCAGGATATGCAGAACGAAAGGCTCATGTTTGGGCACCAGCTTCCGAAACAGTGTGAAGGCACGGTCGGCAAGCTGTCCCTGCAGCCGCGCATCGTCGCCCTGCTCTTCAGGGCGTCGGGCAATCTGGAAGCTTCCCAGCTGGATCTGTTTCCGACCTCTGCGTGCTGCACCAGCCTCCGAGCTGGGGGCATGCATCAAGCTCAAAGAGAAAGTGGGGATCGGGCGATAGCCATACATGCGCTCGTCGCTGCGAACTTTCGTGATCAACTTCTGCGCCAGGGCCAAGAGATTCTCCCTGACCTGCTCCTCTGTGCAAACGGGCCCCTGCCAGAAGGAGTCTTGCACTGAACAGGTCTTGGGTGCACCAGAAGCCTTCACCAACGACTTGTCGATGCCCATGCAAATGGCCCTCATGGTCCTCAATGTCCCAACATCGAATTCCGTGAGAAGCCGTTGATAGTGGGCACCGCAGGCGTCAATCGCGGACACTATCTCTCCGATGGTCCGGATGCCCAGCTCGTGAAGTTTTTGGGTCGAAGCAAAGCCGATACCAGGAATTTTTTGCACGGCTAAGTCGTCAGGCAGTAGATGTGCCAAACGGTCGGCTGTCGGGAGAAAGAGGGTCTGCCGGCTGGGCTTCTTCCATGAAGAAACCATCTTCGCCAACTGCTTGGAGACGCTGATGCCAGCAGAGGATGTAAGCCCGACCTCTGAGAAAATGGCCTCGCGGATCTCGCGACAAATGGAGGCAGCGATGATGAGCTGAACCCAGCAACGGCCCCGGTCGTCCAAACCCTTCCAATCGCCGTGCTGGATCTCTTGAACAATTTCCCTCTCCTCCTCCAGCTCTTCCGGGAATTCATGGGCCGCAGCAGCGAAGCGCAGGCGAGCTGTCGGGTCTTCCAGTGCCTTCAGGCGCTCAGTGATGAGCTCTGTCACATCCACAAAGACTTCGTCGAGGCCCAGCTTCTCCACTGTCGAGCTCCAGCGTGCCGCCACGTCGAAAACACGCTGCGAGAGCTCGCCATAGAACGTAAGGTCCTCCCCATTACAGATTGTGATCTCTGGGCACTTGTCTCGGACGACCTGCAAGGAGTCACCTTTCTTGATGCCGAAAGCCCTCGCAGCGTAGTTGGACGTTATGACCAGCATCTTCTGCTGTACTCCCACCGGCTTCCCTTTCAAGTGGGGGTGCCGGATCTCCTCACACTGGGCATAGAAGCAATCCATGTCAATGGCCAGGACAAAACGACTTGCGGCAAGCAAACCTGGTGACGAGGCGGCTGCTCGCGATGCCAATGCCGGCTTCTGAAACTTTCCCTTTTCACAGCTGTCCGGGATCATCTGGGAAGTGAGGATGTTGACCCACTTCCGCTCCCCGAGGGCTTCTGCCCCTATAGTCATGGCCTTCTCCAATGCCTGGTCTTACTTGGAATGAAGGATGACGTTGTGTCAGAATACTTTTGCAAACAGGACTGCGCAGCTGTCAGGAAACTCAGGCCCACACAACATGTCAGAATACACAAAAACTGCGAACCCGTGACCAAGCCCCGATAGTCATGTTGAGCCTGTTGCTGAAAAATAGCTGTCGGGAGAGATGTACACAAGCCGGGGTGCACTCCGACAAAGAACTGTGCCCTTCAGTTCGTGGGTTTGTTAAAGCCAGTAAGAAAAGAGTTCTGAGCGGTGCAGCTGTAACCGTGGACAGCTCATGGACCCGATCCTCCAGCAGTGACTGCTGCTCCTCTTCCTGCACAGAAGGCTTGAGGACTAGTGCCCGAGGCTTTTCTTTCAAGATTCTGGGCGTAGTCAAAACAGCCCGTCAATCAATGCGGCCGAGCCGACGCATGCAAACGTGCACGTTGTGCATGAATCGACAAGCTACGCACGCAAGTGACAGTGCTGGCGACAGCTCTCTAGACCTCGAGGTTCAGCTGATGGCGTAGAATCGCACAAGGCCCCGTCCTCGGCATCTTCTGCAATACTCCTGGCTTCAGGAATGGCAGATCGTGGCAACTAGTGGCAGCCCTTCAGCCCTCACCGACAGCTTTTGACCTTTCCTGAGCAAATTCCCGGACCTTCCAAATGAATTGATGCCGGAACTGAGGGGAACCCAAACGCATCTGCCTATCGAATTTGCGACAACTTGCAGCGCATGCCGGCCCGATGAGAAGTCATGACTTTGCGGCCATCATGTAGCAACGAATGCAGGCGCAGAAGCAACTGAGGAGAGCTTAGTTTGCCATGGTTTAGCTACTTTGCCGCTTCCCTTGATAGAGAACTGGCTTGGGTGGCTTTGCGGTTGGTATGGCAGCATCAGAGGAGGACGAGGAGGCGGACAATGGTTGCAAAGGCAGCAGGAGCCTTGTGCACCTGCGGAGTCTTGCAAGACATTCAGGGGCGAAAACGTATTTTCTGGAGCCTCCTCCATGACATGGGAAAAGATCAAGGTGCAGATCCGCCTTGTAACCTTAGTCCTGCCGGGTGCAATTGTCAAACTACCTGAAGGAGAGAAGGAGAATGGGCAGCAAGGCACGGGATTGATATAGACGGTGGCTTTCAGGCAGACTGTGGTCGAGGCGTCGACGATTGGAATCGAAGCCCGTCGCGGCACGGAAAGCCAAAAAGAACGTTCAAGATGGACACACTTTGACACCTTCACTCATGTCAACATTTCGTTTAATCTGCAAGGACGTGCCAGAACCCACGGAGGGTGCGGTCGTAAATGCTGGACATGTTCTCGTGGAAGTGAGGTACGAGGGGAGGCGAGATACCGGAGCTTGCATAGGTTTCGACAGCAAAGCTCGAGCAGAAGTCACGGCTTTGCAGCCGGACTTTGCTCATAGCGGCGAGACCTCCAGACAGCAAAAGAAAGGCTTGCGACTCATTGCGCATGAACACCTCCTCAGGATTTGGAGCAAGAAAGTGGCAAGAAATCCACCAAACCGAGGGCTTCGAGGTCGGGAGCTTCCATGCTTTGTAGATACCAGCAAGGGCGGGTTCAGGGCTTGAGAGGCGCCGCAAAAGAAGTCCCTGAAGCCTTAACCTCCCCACAAAGGCACGCGGGCTCCTGTATTGTGCGCCCGCATGGGTTGTCACGACCGGCTGGCGAACCTCAAAAGCAAACTCTGCAGCGTCTTGATATGTTTCGAGGGCTTTAGCTGCTCCCTCCG